ATGACCACATAGCAGCTCCATGGTGTGCCCATAACTTTTCCATTCTGACCCCATCAGAGTTCCGTAGTGAAGCCATAGAGCTCCATTGTGACCCCATAACAGTTGTATTATGATGCCATAGAGCTCCATTGTGACTCCATAAAAGTTCCACTCTTATACCATAATAGCTCCATTATGACCCCATAGATCTCCATATTGACCCCGTAAAAGTTCACTTATGACCGTATGGAGCACCAGAGTGAGCTCATGACAGTTCCATTATGACCCCATAAGAGCTCCGTGGTGACCGCATAACAGTTGCATTTAAACCTCTTATAGCTCAGTAGTGACTCTATGACATTGCCATTGTGACCCCATGGAGCCCCAGTGTTACCCCATAACAGCTTCTTTATGATGCCGTAGAGCTTCATCGTTTTCCTATAGGATCTCCATAATAACCTCATGGAACCATAGATTTTCCATAACATTTCCATAACTATTATGACCCCTTAGAGCTGCATAGTGACCCCTGAAGAGCTCCTTAATGACGCTATATAGATTTCATTCTGACCCCATAACAGCTGCGTTATGACCCCTCAAGTGTTCCTATAGTGATTCCATAACGGCTCCATAGTGACGTCGTACCAGTGCTATTGTAACCCCATAGAGCTTCATATGGCTTCATGGCCCCATAGGGCTGCACAGGGCGCTGTATCTGTCTAGGTTTGCACGTCTGCTGGACCGAAGGTGTTCTGAGCAGCACTGCAGGCAGCAGGAGGTGCTGGAGCCGGTTCAGGGCTGGGATGTCCTTAGCTACAGAGGGAGGGGAAGCTGTTGGTTTGGTCTTTGATGGAGATGACTTCTCACGCAGGTTGAAAGCCTTCAAGGCCGCCTTGCTGGAGGTCTTCAAGTCTTCCCACGCTCAGTCTGTGGGCCTGAAGAACGTGATGGAGGCCATCAACCGCGACAACCCTGAGCCCTTCTCGCTCGCCGAAGTGAAGGTGGCATTGGCCCACATGCAAGACGACAACCAGATCATGGTGTCTGACGACATCATCTTCCTAATCTGAGCCTCTAAGAGCCCAAATTCTCATGGGGCTTTTCAATCTGGAAACTCGTTGTGTTTACCTTCACCTCTCTCCTGAATGCTTCATCATCATCTGGCTGAGCTGGACTTTGGGAAGCACTTTGCATTGCTGGCACTGAAGGAGCCAGGAAAAGTGGAAGCTCTCTCCTTTGCCAAACTGGAGTATTAGGGAAGAAGTTTGGTTCTGCGAGTAGTCAAAGGGAAGAATGTGTGTGCAAGTTACTGATCTGCTTGATGTGCTTTTAGCTCTGACCTGGGTTATGTGCAAGCTCAGGTTGGTTTTACTCAAAACTAGTTTGTTTTCATGCTGCAGGGCTCCCAGTTGCTTCCCAGGCTGGGAGGAGCCTCTTCCCTCCCAGCTTTTCTTACTGTTTAATTAAAAGAAAAACATGGGTTTAAGCATTCAACAGCAGTGCTTGTAAGAAGCAAACATAGGGGGGAGAAAGGAAGGGATGGGGGGGAAGTTGGGGATGGGATTTTCCTACAGTTCAGCACGCCCCCATGGCCAGGGAGGGTTTTCAAGAAGAGCTGAAATCACAGGTTAACCTGCAGCCAGAGCTGGTGAAGGCTTGGGATGTTAAAATTCCATTATTTTATGGTTTTTTATTTTGGTGAATTTGAGGTTAAGCTTTGGGGGAGGCCCTGAGCAGCACAGGCTCCTTCTTTTGTCCTTGCCAGGATGTCTGCACCACTCAAGTGCCCTTATGTGTGTCGGTGATACCATCCATGTTAACTTGCATAATAAAACATCTGATACCATTGCTCCTGTGCCTTAATGCTGACTCGGACCCTGGCTGTTCCTGCTTCATATATATGCCCCGTCCATCCCTGGAGGTGTTCAAGGCCAGGTTGGAAGGGGCCCTGGGCAGCCTGGGCTGCTGTGAAATGTGGAGGTTGGTGGCCCTGCCTGTGGCAATGGGGTTGGAGTTTGGTGATCCTTGGGGACCCTTCCAACCCAAGCCATTCTACATTTCTAAACATAGAAGCACTGGCTTTTATGTCTTTTCTTGTCCGTTTTCAGCCCTTGGAAGCACCCAGCCAGCTTTTCTCTCCTGGGTATTTCCCCAGTGCTCCAAGAAATGTCCCTGGTCATTTCTGTTGCTCCTATTTAGCCTTGCTGTAATACCGGGGTTATTTCCATCTCTTCATCTCCCCCACTTCTCCTTGAGTTTTGGAGGATCTCTGTGGGTCACAGCATTGCATCAGTGGGGTTTTTCAGAGCTGCCTCCCCTTCCTCAGGTGCTCATGCTTCCAGTTCCCTGTCCTTAATGCTGGCTTGCTGCTAATAGTGCATCCCCCATTACAAGTCACCAGGGGGAGCTCCAAGGTAGAGAAATCTGCTGCTTTGGACTCTCCCACAGCCTACAGGGGAAACTCAAGTCACGGTTTTGGCTCTACCCAGATTCAATAATGAGGGAAACAGCAAGGAGATTCCATTTCATAGAATTACCATAGGATGGCCTGGGTTGAAAAGGATCATAGTGATCATCCAGTTCCAACCCCCTGCTGTGTGCAGGTCGCCAACCAGCAGCCCAGGCTGCCCAGAGCCACATCCAGCCTGGCCTTGAATGCCTGCAGGGATGGGGCATCCACAGCCTCCTTGGGCAACCTGTTCCAGTGCTGAAAAACTTCCTCCTAATATCTAACCTAAACCTCCCCTGTCTCAGTTCAAGGTTTATTAGTTTGATTTAGTTTATCTGTGGCCTTCATTCTTGCTAATTTACAAGAACTCACCAAAAATTGCATTGGTTGCTCAAGTTGGACTCGCTGGCCCTGAGACCTGATGAGCACTGATTCAAGTAGAGGTGTTGCTGTGCTGGGGCTGAGCAAAAGGTAGCGGATGCACTAAACTCATTTTCATGACCCTTTCCAGCCCATTTTTCTGCATTATATAGAAACCAGTGCACAGAGTGCAAAAGTCCACCAGGTTCCTGTAACCCTCTTGTTTCATCTCCTCTCCTTTGCCAATGTGACAACATTACAAGACAGCACATGCTGTCTTTGGGGACCGACTTACAGAAGACCTACAAGGCATCAGTGTGTGTTTGCAGGCAGAGTGACCTATATTATCTAAGAGCCTGAATGTGAGTGAAAGGTTGCAGGGCTTTCCCCAGGGTGGCCCTGATGATGTGCTGATTGGAACTTCTCTCTATGGGAGAGAAACAGGGCTACCAGGCAGATTGTGTCAGCAGGACCATGAGTAGCACCTGACCTTAGAATAATTCTGCAAAATGAGTAAAAGCATCACTTTCAGCTTCCATTGGGAAATGGGGACTGTAATATTTAGAGGAGCATCATGCTTCTAACAAGATTCAGCATCAAGGGTAATAATAATGATGTCTCAGGGCCAGTGAGTCCAACTTGAGCAACCAACGCACCTGGTCTCACCCACTGCCTGTCATCTCCTCTTGAGCTTTGGCCCTAACACTTTTCCTGCTCTCATCCATCTCCACGATGGATGAGAGTGAGGGCAGGAGACTCAGTGCTGGTCCTGATTCATGTTTTGGGGTTAGTGAGCCAGTACAGAATGCCTGGATTCCCTAGCATCAGGCAGCTCATGTGTGATGGCAGCAGGGCTGGGTTGCGCCCCACAGACACAAACGCAGTGTTGGGTCATAGGAATCCTTAGAGTTGGAAGGGACCTCTGAAGGCCATTTAGTCCAACTGCCCTGCCATGAACAGGGACATCACAGCTGGATCAGGTTGCCCAGGGCAACCTTGAAAGTCTCCATGGATGAGGCATCAACCACATCTCTGGGCAACCTGTGCCAGCGCCTCACCACCCTCACTGTAAAAGACTTTTTCCTTACATCTAAGCAACCAGGTACTGCTCTGATGTCTTATTTATTGTGCCTTAATGTTATGTTTCAAGCCCTCAGCCACCTGGCTTTGGACAGGGTTATTGCTGCTAGAACTGTAGTATTCTGTTGGCTGAAGGATGGCTGAGCACCCAAGCAGCAGCAGCACCACCGAATCCCTGCCTCTCACTCAACCCACAGCCCTGGCCAAAGTGTGAAGCCAAGATGAATGTGGAACGTGAAAGTGAGGTTGGCCATCACTTGTAGAATGCAAAGGTTCTACCAGCCCCTGCAAGACCCTGATGACACAGCACTGTGGCTGCTGGCGTGTCGGAGCAGGATGTGCTGATGGCCCCATTCTGAGGTTTTTGTTGCCAGCATCTGTGGCACGCTCGGCCAGCCACGTTTCCTCTCAAAATTTGCTCTTTCCAGTTCACATCTTTGGGCTGTGGTCAGCAGTTTGGTCGTACAATGTCAGCAACCCAACCAGGGCAAGCATGGGTGTGCAGCATCAGCATTGAAAGCAGGAGGTAGGTGACTTAATGGTGTGGCATGTAGCAAAGGGGAAACCCTGGGGTTGCTAGAAAGGCAGGAGAATGAGGTGGAGGTGCTTGTGCTCCAGCCACCCTGCAGAACTCAGTTCTGAGATATTCAGTGCTGAGATCTACATGGAGATGATACCATTTTAGTCCCAGTGTCTGCCTTGGGCTACAGAAAGTCTTCTGATGTGCTACAGCTGAGCTGGATCATCTGTCCCCAGATGTTGCCTTTGCTCAAAATGGGAATCACTGGGACTTGCTTCCTTGGCCCATCCATCTCAATGGCAGGGTGCCCACTTGCAAAGCAGAACGTGTTCACACCATAGAAGACTGAGTGCTGAGTTCTGTGCCCCGTTTGTTCTTCTAAGTTTAAAGGTTTTTGAGTGCTTCTGCTTTCTGCTCCTTTGGTCTACATCTCTCTGATGCCTTGTGTGCGGAATGAGGCACTGGAACAGGTTGCCCAAGGAGGCTGTGGATGCCCCATCCCTGCAGGCATTCAAGGCCAGGCTGGATGTGGCTCTGGGCAGCCTGGGCTGCTGGTTGGCGACCTGCACACAGCAGGGGGTTGGAACTGGATGAGCATCGTGGGCTTTTGCAACCCAGGCCATTCTGTGATTCTGTGGTCCAAATGCTCTCTGAAAACAGCCAAGTTGCATGGCTGAAGCCCCAGCAATGTCATTAAAACCTTCACCTGATGTGTAATTAATCCTACAGTGCGACTTTTTTTTTAGTCATATATCAAGTGTAGAAAATCTATTGTACACACAATGAAAAAAATCTGATTTCCAAATCTCCATCCCATATCCCTGCTCTGAGCCCTTGAAACACAGGAACAAATAGATTTTTTTTTTTTTTTTGGTGGTAGTGGTTTTGAGATAATCTTTGCCTCCTTTGTAGTGATCCATGTTAGGTGACCTCTTTTTGACCAGAATTTCTGTGCACTTCAGTTGAAGGTAACTTTAGTCATAGGAAATTTCTGATCAAGGAAGGAATCCTCGCTGAAAGTGTAAGCTGCTGAAGGCAGAAGATAGGAGTGGAAAGTGGTGGTCAGGGCTAATAACCCAGCAGTTGGCGTGATAATGTCACTGCTTCATCACACGTGGCAATTTCCACTTAGCCTCACACCTGCACGATCCACTCATGGATGCCCTTTTCCTTCCACAGCAAAGCTGCCATTGAGGGGAAAAAGAAGGGGGTTCCTTGCTGGGCTATAGAAATGGGTTTTTGGTAACTTTACCACCTTTTGGTCTTCCACACTCCATGTCTCAGTGATGCATTTGTGAAAACGTGGGGTAAGAACAGTCAGAACGGGAATGTGTGTCACGAAATGGATGTTACCTGACGTGAACTTAACCTGAAATACAAACAGCTTCTGGGAGATGAGTTGCTGGTTTCTGAACCGCCGACAGATCAGACCACAAAATGGTTACAACATCTCTGAAATGACATAACGTGTTGGGCAATGAAGATTTCTGCCAGTCACATAAGCTGAGATGGCAGAGCAAGGAGCAGGTTAGCTCCTTCTGGCTTGACAATGCCACCAGTCAGTCAGCAGCTCCTGATTGACCTCCGTGGTCCAGAGGACTGAAGACAAATCCGAGTGATGAGCCCTGTGCTTCCATGCTCTTCTTTCAGCTTGGCTTCAGAAGAGGCTTCTCCAAAATGTTCCTGCACAGGAGCTGTGATCAGAATATTTTCATGGGCTCCTTTGGCAATAAAAATAGCTTTCGTTCCAAAATCCCACAGTGCATCTGAGAGCTGAGGGTGCTTCTAGGGAAACAGCACATCCATTGGCTTTTCCCTTCCACTCCGTGATGCTCTGCTGCTTCACGGGCAGCAGAGTCCTTCCTCCTGCTTGTTTTCGTGCCTCTGGTCTCTAATTACAAAAAGGGGAGCAATCGGTCTGTGATTAAAAGTTGTTATCCTCTAAAAGCATGATGGAGTGCTGTCAGGTGGAGGAACTCCAACAACACAGTGCCAGTGGAACCCCAAACACACCTCCTCCATCTGGCACAGGAGGGGATGGTCAGCCCAGGCCTGGATGTGAGCTGCAGTAGTGGAGTCAATGGGGGAGGCAGTGGGGCTGCAGGGCGCAGGGCTCACTGTGATACACTGGGAAGAACACCTTGGCACTGGGCAAGATTTAAGTACGGGATGACTGGGGTAAGAGCAAAGGTGGGGGAAGAAAAGGGTCAGAATGGATCAGTGAAGAAGAAACACTGAGTGTCTAGAGGGGGGCTGTAAGAAAGAAGGGGACAAATTCTTCAGTAGGGTCTGTTGTGATAGGACAGGGGGAATGGCTTCCAACTAGAAGAGGGGAGATTTACAATGGATATAAAGAAAAAATTTCAATAGGGGTGGTGAGCACTGGCACAGGTTGCACAGAGAAGCAGTGGTGCCCCATCCCTGCAGACAGCCAAGGTCAGGCTGGATGGGCTGTGAGCACTGATGGAGCTGTGGCTGTCCCTGCTCAGTGCAGGGAGTGGGATGGATGGCCTTCAAGGGTCCCTTCCAACTCAAACCATTCT